ATCATTTTCATCAATGATAGTATAGATATTTCTTACTGTTCCTCTAGACAAATAAGTAACTTTGCTTCCTTCTTTTTTACTAGTAGATAGCTTATTTCTTTTATTCTAACATGCATATATTACCTAAATTAAAGATGAAACGACGTTACTTTGTCTGCGAACACCGTTGAATGAGTATGACAGCTTCAGTGACAACAGCCGCTATTTTTCTCAGTATTGCCAAGTTAAAGAGGAATGAAGTATAGACACACACTGTCCTAAGTTAAAAAATATAGAGGGACATAGCATCATCAGCTTGTAAGAGCCTCATTTTATTCCGTCTGGAACCAATTAATCGATCATAGGGAAAAAATACGAAAATGCAGTTTTTTTCCTCATGTTCCAATCTAAGAGTTATTTCTTTGAAATACAGGGTGTTTATAAAGTCCTGGACCCATTTTGATGTTTAATAACTCATAAAATAATAAAGATAGATTAAAATTAATAACATAAATGGTTTGGTAGACTCAAAAAGTTTTATGACCCTTGTCAATGTACTTCCACGTGTGCCCCATTCGTCGAACGGAGAATATCATGTCGATAGTCAATTTCCCGCCAGGTAGCGGCCAGCATGTCGGCATCCACAGAGGCTATTGCGGTTGTAATTCTAGCTTTTTGGTCATCAATGTTCGACACGATCCTCCTGTAAACATTGTCCTTTATAAATCCACAAAGAAAAAAGTTCAGCGGCTATATATCAGGCGATGTGGGTGGCCAAGGAAATGGACCTTCTTGCCCAATCCATCTTCCTGAAAAATGGTCATTCAAAGAACTATGAACGATGTTACCCCAATGAGGTGGTGCACCATCTTGTTGCAAAAAGACATGTGGCTGAAGCTCTTCTAGTTGTGGAAATACGAAGTTTTCCAACATGTCTAAGTATACTACTGATGAGACCGTCTTTTCTGTTAAAAAGAAAGGCCCAATGACTCGGTCGTGCATTAGTCCACACCACACATTAACTTTTGGGGAATTCCATTGTGTCTCACGGTATTCATGGGGGTTTTCAGATCCCCATATGCGCACATATGGCGATTAACAATGCTAGAAACACCCATTTGGATCCACTTTGATGTTTAATAACTCATAACGCTTGCCGCTACCTGGCGTGAAATTGACTATAGACTTGATATTCTCCGTACGACGAAGGGGGCACACGTGGAAGTTCATTGACAAAGGTCATGAAACTTTTTTAGTCTATCTAACCATTTATGTTATTAATTTTAATCTATCTTTTTTATTTTATGAGTTATTAAACATCAAAATGGGTCCGGGACATTATAAACACCCTGTATAATTGCTAGCTATAGCATTTGCATACGTTTTATGAAAATATATTTATCATTTATATATTAATTAATGCGTTTATATACCTTGAACTTTATTGTTACTTCAAATTTTTTTACCCCATTTCGAAAAAAAAAATTGACTTCTAACGTTTTGAAAATTTTGCGCTACACCGTAATAATGATGGCAGACAATTTAGATCAAATTTTATTTTTCTCGTCTTTTCAACAGTTTGAGACAACCAATGTGCATTGATGTAAGATCACGTTTCTCAAAAAGTTTTTTTTAAACAACTATTGGGTCGTCTACTAATGTTGCCAAGCTTGTAGGGGAGGGAGAGGTTTGTGGATATTGTGACAGTTTGTGATAAGTGGGAAGGGGATCCGTGAAACAATATTTTGTTACAAACGAGGAGGAAAGGCGGTACTAATGAGTGGGGCATTCCCTATTTGAATAAAATAATGAAAAAATTAATATCATCAAATCAGATGTTTCTGTATCATTTATAATAGACTTTTTTTCTTTTTTTTTTGCAGGCCGGGATAGCCTGGTCGGTAGGGCGCTGGGCCCAAGTCCAAGAGGTCGTGGGTTCGATCCTCGCCGGCCGAAGACTCCCCGTGTAGTAAATGGTGACTGATGCACGTTAAATCTGTCGAGTCTCAAAGTCCTCCATGTTCCCATAACAAATCAATACCTCTGGGGGTACTGATCAAGGAGTTTCCTTGTCTTCTGGATTGGTTCAAAATTACAAGGCTACGGAGTTGAACATTAGTAGTCGTAAACCCATTAAATTGTGTCGGCTGTTCAACGACGGTTATAAAATAAAAGTAAAATAGACTTTTTTTCGTCAAAATGATAACAAAATGATTACGTCAAAATGATAACACATCTAATAAATTTTATTAATGCTATGCTTAGAGATGTCATTCAAAATCGTTCCTGAAATTTAAAAATAAAATTTGAAATGTGATCTATAACGTGCATTTTGTTTCAGAATTAGAGATTCAGTTCAGATTAGAGATTTTCTATTGTGAAATCTTTATCGGAATTACATACATTTGCAGGCTTGTGAGCTCAAATTAGGCTTATAAGCCTTTGTCAAATATCTTTTCTTAAGAATAATCTTTTCTGATGAGAAAATATTTTGCTCAGAAAAAAGTTATAATGCTAAAAATAACGCTGCATGTTCAGCAACGACTGATATAACTGAAAGTGTAAGGATCTGTGCAATGATTTCAGAACAAGCGTTCTGCAATGGCTGCAGTCTCAAGTAACAGAAAATTTCCTCTGAAATTCATCGATAAGGGGGTAAAAATAAACACTGAATATTACAAAATGGAAGTATTGGCTACACATTTATTTCCACATGCTGACAGATTGTATTCCAAAAAGGATTGGATATTTCAACAATATTCTACACCGTCAAATTGAGCTAAAACAACACATTCTTGGATCCATATCAATTGTTCGAAATTTATTAGACAAGAAGATTAGCCCCCTTCTTCACCTAATCTAAATCCTTCAATTAGACTGTAGTGTTAAAGTTTTTCTAGAGTTTGAAGTTAATGCTAAGCAGCACATGAAATCCCTAAGAGTCGCTTGACTCCCTCAGGCATGGGACGAATCACCTCTTAAAATGGTTCGTGCCGCTATCGGACCGATTATAGTTAGTAATAATTAAAGATGGTGGCCGATTCGAATAAAAAAAGTTTTAAGTTAAACTTCCATTTATAGAGTTCATTACATTTGCATATTTTATTTTATATTATTACCGCCGTTGAACAGCCGACCCAAATTTGGGTTTACGACTACTAATGTTCAATTCCGTAGCCTTGTAATTTTGAACCCAATCCAGAAAACAAAGGAACGCCTGGATCAAGTATTTTTTTACTTTTTTAAATTTTTTTTATTTAAACGACTTAAAACTCCTCATGCACTACAAAGTACAGCATGAGGCTTACAGTTGTAAGTAGAAAACAAAAAGAAGAAAAATTTACAAATTTACATTAAAAACAAAATTCCGCAAGGCCGCAAGACNATTAGGCTATCTTAAAAAGATATTTTGAAAGATATTTTTGGCAACATTTTATTCAAATGTAGCCAAATAAGGGATAAAATACAAAACATGGCAAACCTTAAGAATTATTCACAATGAGATATTAACTTTCCAAAAATTTTTCTGGCCTTATGACCTCTGAGAATCAATACATTTCTGAAAGCTCTTATGAATGGTACAATTATGTTTAGATTTGAACCCAAATTGCAATAGCGAAACTGCATAGAATATTAGGCTTGTTCACACATCACCTCGTAGTCATAACATAAGCGGAGGGATACACCGGAAATTTTCTAAATTTCTTCCGGTTTAAGGACGCTTGTTATTGTTTACATTAGACCACCCATCCATAGAGTTCATTACATTTGTATATTTTATTTTATATTATTACCGCCGTTGAACAGCCGACCCAAATTTGGGTTTACGACTACTAATGTTCAATTCCGTAGCCTTGTAATTTTGAACCCAATCCAGAAAACAAAGGAACGCCTGGATCAAGTATTTTTTTATTTTATTTTTTATTTAAACGACTTAAAACTCCTCATGCACCACAAAGTATAGCATGAGGCTTACAGTTGTAAGTAGAAAACAAAAAGAAAAAAAAATTACAATTTTACATTAAAAACAAAATTCCGCAAGGCCGCTAGACTTTCAATACTTTTGACCAGTTCTGATAAGACAGGTGGCCAACAAGTAGAAAGACCTCTCAAATCAGTCTTTAAATTCATTCGGGCACTCGCATACAGACTACAATGAAGAAGAATCTGTTCAGCATCTTCATCAGCATCACCGCAAGCACAAATTCCACTGGTCTGCAGATGGAAACGAAATAAATATCTCTTAAAATTTCCATGGTTTGTTAAAATTTGGGTTAATTTAAAATCAGTTGCAAAGAATTTATATGGCAAACGGTGAAAAATGGATGAAAAGAACCTTTTCGTCCAAAGCGACCGAGGCGAAGCAAGAAATTCAGCATTCCAGTCCGCAATGATTTTATCTCTAGCGATGCGCTTCCAGTGAGAAGCTGGAACAGACACCCTTAAGTCTATTTCACCACACGTAGCTTCCCTAGCCAATTGGTCTGCTCTTTCATTGCCCAAAATACCGCTATAGCCACGAACGTAAGAAAAATGAATAGTTACGTTTTCAAGAGCGTTCAAAATCGAGTGAATTTCCACCACAAGCTTCTCAGTAGAAGTCGTGTCACGCAAAAGAAAAAGTGAAGAAAGAGAATCTGTACAAATGAGATATTTAAAAATTTGGATCAAGTATTGGGGGGGGGGAATTTGACTTCGAGGAGGACTTTATATTTGTGTATTTATCATTTTCTATTTAACATCCGTACAACGAAATGATTCGGTATTTGTAACAGTATTTTGTAGACACCCTACAGCATCACATTCCATATTTAACTCTTTTATTGTCCAAGAATATTTTGTAGTGTTTTTTGCTGTTTTCTTTTTATTTTATATGAGAAAAAATGAAATAAAATGGACATTAATCATTAAAAACGAACAGTATTCCGACAAGTAATGCTTTTTTATCTTATCTCTTTTGTGTTATTGGTTAAAGAGACTGATATGCGTTGCCTTGTCGACATTGTGTGATAATGCGTTTGATTAAAATTGAAAACGTCAGTAAGCTACTTCCCTCTTCGTTGTACATTATATTGTTTTGAAATTTGTTAACGAGTTAAAATATGTCGGCAAACGAAAAACACGGATTCATGTACCTTTGGAATATTAAAAATTTTGATAGGTTTGTGGAATCAGCAACCATTAATACAATAATCAGCCCTTCGTTTAAAATTGAATTTTTAAAAGGAACTGAATTGAATCTAATATTATCAAAATGGTGTAAAAAAATAGTTTGTCGAATTAGACGAGAGAGCTGCAGTGAAATTCCAGAACGCATTTCAGTCCACTATCAATATGAGCTAACAACTTCTGCTGGAGTTATTTTAAAAACGTCTGCTTTATTAAGTGATACATTTAATGATACATTCAGGGATATTTCGAATGAATACGAAATAATGGAACTGACTGATAGTAGTACGCCGGAAGATGTCAGCCTGCGATGCCGTATAATATTACCTTGCATAATTCCGTCAATAATCTCAAGTCCACCTTCTGTTGTCGGTTGGGAAGCTGAAACAGACATTGTGGCAGCTCGTTACCCTTTTGAGTGGTCCTTAGTATTTTCCGGCAATAATAAGTTGACAGCTGTTGAAAGTGTAACTGTGGAAAATATACCGATTGATGTTAAATTTAAATATGTTGAGCATGAGCTTAAGATTAAACTTATTCCCAAAATCATTGATAATAAATTTCACACTGTGTGGTGTACAATGAATTTAAAAGTAAATAGAAAATCAGTTGACATGACTTATGGATGGCGGCAAAATTTTAAATTTAGTAACACAACTACAGAATACAAATTTATCCATTCTGTGAATAAATTGCTCCGAGAGGAAGCTATTTGCTCTCTTTATAAAATACTTAATATGGGAGTAATGTTTGAATATTCAGATAACGCTTCAATCACAGAGATAAAGAATTTTAATAAAAATTCCCCAAGTGTTGAGCGTGCTGCATTAACTCAAAATAAAGATGAGATCGACAGCTTATTGAATCTACAGCAGCATCTCAGGAACATGTTGAATGAAAAACACTACGCCGACGTGAAACTGCGTGCTGATGGTGAGGTTTTCTTTGCTCACAAATGCTTACTAGCTTCTCGATCGCCAGAGTTCAGGGCTATGTTTGATCGAGAGATGTTAAAGAGCAAAACTAGCGTCATTGATATGCGTGATGTGGAAGCAAAGACCCTGAAATATTTTTTGGAGTATCTCTATACTGGAACAGTGGATGGTATGGATGACAAAATGGCCTTGAATCTATTGATAGTTGCTGATAAATATCAGGTATCATCCTTGGTAGAGAAGTGTTCAACATTCCTAAAATCAGCTTTGAATTTCGACAATGTACTAAGCATACTACTGGTAGCAGATTTGGTGAATTATGAACCAATGAAAGTGTTTATAATAGAATATATTGTGGAAAACTCTTCGGAAGTTTTGTCCTTACCGAACTGGCCACAATGGATGAAAATGAATTCTTTAATTGCGTCTGAAGTATTACTTAAGCTTTCCTGCAAGTTTGATTCTAATTTTAAAAAGAAATGTGGTAAGTTAGAAAACTTTTAGCAAATTTAACAGTTAAAACAATTAAGAACCATTCATTACACTAACTATTCTCTTTATTACTTAAGGTATTCGAAAATAAAAATAGCAAGAATAGGTAATTGAGCAAATAAAAACACGAATAAATAAAAAAATATTTTAATTATTATTTTTTCTCGGATACAAAGCAACCTTATATTTATATTGTGTCATGATTGTTAAAAACTATCTTGGTAGTCGTGGATATTTTTTATTCTTTTCAAAAACAAGCTAGAATGAAATGTTTCAGTTAGCTCTTTTTGCTACTTTCTTTCTTGAAATATATTTGGTCCCCACACAAGCTCTACAGAGAACCAGAGAACTTTCGTCCAAGTTAAGATACAATAACTAGTTCTAGTAAGCACTCACGTTGGTGAACTTTTTTTTTCTTCTTTAATTGGCAAATTATCTAAAAAATGCGTTGCCTATAGGGTTGGTATAACGGCTTGACATCAAGTCATGATTCATGACAAACTGCAGCAATTTTTCTCATTTTCGTGTTATCACACAAACTTTTTGATTTCCATGTGCTATTTGTTGGATGGAACCCGAAGCCCAGTTCAAGTAGGGACCTTCCTGGAGGAGTGGTTTCGCTGTTCCACCAAACGATATTTTTCTTCGAGTGTAGCCAGCTCGAATCACACCGTTTCGCTGGATGTCTATTGTGATGTCCTTTTTCAGCTTGTGCTATATGATCTTCCACTTGATAAGGGTTCGTAAGTCGTTCATTTTGATGAGAGTACTAGATTACAAATTAAATGTGTATTAAGGACCGGGTAATAGACCAGTGTAAAACATATTGTGCCACGATTAGTTTCATTTTCATTTACACCAAACTGTTGAATGAATGTGAGTTTGGCGAAAAACCCAAACCTATCGAATGCTACAACACGACAAACTAAAAACATGTAGTGATGATTGGAATGGAAGAATATACTCCTGGTATGCTTTGATACTTTTATTTATATACTTTTTGTTTGCTTGTTTGCATGATAGACTGATGATAAATCCTACCTAATTATCGCTTCTAATAAGTAGTTCCACTATTGTTAAAAGTTTTTTAAAATGGTAAACTACATAAAGCACTCGGCTATACTGCTGGTTTAGTTCAAGCTTGAAAATTTAACATGTTATTAAATTTTAATGCATTTTAATGTTAAGAAGAACTTATAGATAATATATACTTAGAAATATATACTATAGATAATATATACTATAGAACTTATCGAAGAACTTATAGATTATCTGATAATAAATTTATGTGGCAACTATTATAAACTATAAAATAAGAGACAAAAACAAATGGGCAAAAATAGCACTCTTTTTTAGATAATTCGAGATCTTGGACCGTATGTGGATAGCCTCAATTTGAAAAATATTGATCCAGATACTTTAGGTAGAAGAGCTGCCGAAAATTTGAACCTCTTTATTTTTAATGTTGATTTTCTGTGCATTTCGCCTTTTCTCAAATTATTTAATCAAAAAATTCTGGCACAAAATTTTATTACTCATTTCTTTAAAAAAAAAGTATATGATTTGTTTACAACGAAAATGTGGCCACTTAGGTTTTTAATCACAGAGACTCCTTTATCGCTATACTTCCTTGATATGATATTGCTCTGATAATACTTGGGTTCAGATCTAAATGACGTGAAATATAACAGATATCTAGAATATTCGTTTGTAAGGAAGTAATGTAAAGGTAAAGTTGCTCTCAAAGTTTGAGCAATGTGTGATGACAAAGAAAGTCAGTTTTTCTGGATTTGGAAAGTTAAGGGAGTTTCTTCATTTCGCTAATGGCGTAAAGTCATTCAAATGGGATCTTTTTGTTCTATTAAACCGGGAACTGTAAATTTAGGAAGCAGCAAACGGAAATTAGAACTCAGTTAATATTGTAATGCAGAAAAAGAGAGACACTTAGTGTTAGAGTTATGTCTGACAGATTACGATGAAAACTTATTCAATGAAAAACTGGCCTTCATTTTTTTTTTTATAAATTGCTTAATCCCGGAGGTGATTTAAACATTTAGCAAAGGTGATGTAAACATTTAGCATTAGGTAATGAAACATTTAGCAAAGGATTTGACGTTACGGCACGTTACGAATTAATTGGAATGGAAGATTTATAGCAACAAATATCATACTGGTCAGAAGACACCTTCTCTCTTAGTTGTTATGCGACACTAAGTAGTTCTTCACTGATGTGTAGTGAAACTCAGTGTATCGACTGCCAAATTGAAACGATTATTAGTCAACAAATGACAGCAACTGAATGGAGTTTAAAGTTCACAAACAACGAACATTGGTCAGTAAGTAGAAGAGTGTAAGGATTAAGCATATCTTTAGCAATTAAACTCAGGTATGTTGAGGATTATATTCGAATTTAAATGTTATTTTACCATGAAGAAAATTGGGAAAACCTCGTTGCATGCAATATAACACTCCTTAATAGCATTGGTAGAGACATTTTCAATAGGAGATGAAAATTTATTTACCAAAAACAACAAAATCAGAGAGTTTGGTCTGAAGTTTTATAACTCACACTTAGAGGAGGGTGGATGTCTTAAAGATGAAGACATAAGAATTCGGTGCGCTAGTAATCAGTTTCTGATATGTTATTCAAAAAATAAGGAGAACCAAGAAACGAAAAATTCTCAATTAGTAAATGCCGATTTTATTTCATACCTGCAACACGATTTTCATAATTTGCTTGCAGATAAACATTTTGCAGATGTAAAACTACGTGCTGATTGTGAAATTTCCATGCACATAAAGCTGTTCTGGCAGCATGGTCATCAGTGTTCTCGTCCATGTTTTACCATGACACCGTAGAAAACAATTCTTGCATTGTTGACATTCCCGATGTGAGTCAAAGAGCTTGGAATCTTTTCTGGAGTTCGTGTACGCAGGAGAAATTAGGGAGGTAGATGAAGAAACGGCTTTATCTATGCTTTTTATGTCCGATGAATATCAAGCAAGATCATTGACAGAGATGTCTTCAAAATTTTTAACATCAGTGTTGTCAATAAATAATGCTTGCAAAGTTCTGTCAGTTGTTGATACATTAAATTGCGATCATTTGAAATGGAATGTAGTGGAATATATTATGGAACATTTTAAAGAAATTTTATCTACGTCGGAGTGATCTGAATGGACAAAGAGTAACATTGTTTCGGCAACCGAAGTGCTTTTGAAATTATCCAAAAAATTTGGAAATAAGGCCTTAAGTAAAAGGGGTAAGTTAATTTAAGATTGAGGATTTCATTTCATTAATATTCATATGCAAAATGGTACACATAGACATTATTTCAGAACTTATTACAGACACATTATTACAGATACAAAAATTACAGATTTTTACAAAAAAAACTGCGTACAATGTGCAAAACTGCGTACAATGGGCAAAATGTACATAGCTGCGTACAATGTACATAGCTGCGTACAATGGGCAAAAAAATAAACGGATCACCCCGACTAACTTATGACTTCAGGATCGGTTTGACTTCAATTTATAGTTTGACTAATGGTTTGACTTCAAATTAATTAATACTAATTATTAAATAATTGCTAATTATATTTGACGAAAATAATTAATGCAGACAATATTTTAAGTGGGATATAAGAGCATAAATTTTCTGATTTAATACATTTTTTTCCTCCATTAATTCGGAATCCTGACTGAATATAGGTAGGGGATAGCCAATGATTTATAAAATATGGTCTCAATAGTTTGGTCAGAAGAGCGGTCCAAAGTTTGAACCCCATGATGTAAATTTTAATTTTTGCTTCGTTCACCATATCTCTAAAACTTAAGCGAATCAAAAAAAATTTACATACAAATTTAAAATTAATTTATCTAAATGTATTTTCATGCAAAATATATTTTTATGCAGAATATATTTTCTAGTAAATATTTCTTTTTTATTGATATATTTAGTAACAGTAAAAAAATTTGACTGACCCAATTTCGGATTTACGACTACTAACGTTCAATCCAGTGGCTTTGTAATTTTGAACCCAATCCAGAAAACAAAGGAACTCCTGAATCAAGTATTCCTGCCTTCATGGAGGATTTTATATTTGAGTCTTTATCATTTTCTATTTAACATCTGTGCAACAAAATGATTCAATATTTGCGACATTATTTTGTAGTCACCCTGCAGTATCACATTCCATATTTAGCTTCTTCATTGTCAAAAAATATTTTGTAGTGTTGTTTGCTGTTTTTTTTTATTTTTCATTTTATTTTACATTAAATCTAATCGTTAAAAACGAACAGTATTCTGATAAATAATGCTTACTTTATCATATCTGTTTTGCGACACTGGATAAACAGACTGATATGGATTGCGCTTTATCACACAAGAAACCTACTGTCTTCTTATGTGATAATGTGTTAGATTAAAATTGAAAAAGTCAGTAAGCTACTTCCCCCTTCATTGTGGATTAGATAGTTTTGAAATTTTATAACGAATTAAAACATGTCGACAATAGAAAAATACGGATTCATGTATGTTTGGAACATTAAAAATTTTTATAGGCTATTGGAATCAGAAGCCCCCTGTTATGAAATCAGCAGCCCTTCGTTTAAAATTGAATTTTTAAAAGGAACTGAATGGAATCTAATGTTATACAAATATTCTATAGAACGCTGTTGTCATTCATCAATTCATCGAGAGAGCTACATTAAAATTCCAGAACTCATTTCAGTCGACTATCAATATGAGCTAACAACTTCTGCTGGTGCTATTTTAAAAAAGTCTGATATATTAAGTGATGCATTTCATTATATTTCGAAAAGATACAGATTAATCGAAATGATTGATGGCAACACGCTTGAAGATGTCAGCCTGCGATTTCGTATGATAATACCTTGCTTAATTCCGTCAATGATCTCAAGTCCACCTTCTGTTGTCGTTTGGGAAGCTGAAACAGACATTGTGAATTCTAGTTACCCTTTTGAGT